CTCATTCTCACCCTTCGGGGAGGGACTTGCCCCTCACCCCACCCCCGCCCCTGGACCTGGGCGCGGGGGGTTCAGCGAGTCGTCGGAGCGTCCAAAACGGCTTCGGCGAGGAAGCCACCATCATTGGTTTTATGGTTGGCCTCACGCTTGGCATCGTGGGGGCGCGGGCCGTGGGTGGGGGGGGGGGGCGGGGGGGGGAAGGGGGTGGTGGGGGGGGGGGGGGGGGGGGGGGTGGTGGGGGGGGTGGGGATGGGGGTGTGGTGAGGGGGGGGGGATGGTGGTGGTGGTGGTGGTGATGGGTGGGGTGTGGGTTGGGGGGTGGGGTGGGGTGGGGTGGGGGGGGGCGGGGGGGGGGGGGGGCCGCTCCTCCTGATTAATGTACCCCTTTGTTTGATCGATCACTCCTCCCAAGATGGGTCCCAACAGAAGCGCCCAGGATGGCACCGAGAGGTTCCCAATATGCCCCACGAGGCCCCCCCCAAGGGAGACCCCCAGGCGTCCCAGGCGGCTTCCAAGATGACCCCAAGCCCCCATCCCTTCCCCTTCCCTTCCCCTTCCCCCCCTTCTTTTTTTCCCCCCTTTCCCCCTCCCCCCCCCCCCCCCTCCCCCCCCCCCCCCCGAGGCACCCAACGCGCAGAATAGCCACCAACGGCCGCCACGAGACCCCCAATACGCCCCAAGACGCCCAACGCCAGGTGGCTCCGAGAAACATCCAAACGACATCTATGTTGCTTGCTCTCATCCTCATCCTCCTTCCTCCTCCTATATCCTTTCTCATCCTCCTCCTCACCCCCCCCCGCCGCCTCCTCATCCTCATCATATTCATCATCGTTCCCCCGACTCCCTCATCCGTCCATCCATCCATCCATCCATCCATCCAATATTATCGTTCGCCCCCTCTCCCCGCCACGCGGTCCAGCCGCCCCACTCTCTGCTCCAGCACGTTCCTGATCGCCTCCCAACCCGCCTGGGCATCGTTTCTGGGCGGGCTGGCGGGGATACGCGAAGCGTCTAGGATTTCCTGGGGGAGGGGGGGGGGGGGTCGGGGCGCGGCAATGGCCCGCCGCGAGAAAACGTTGGGCAATCGTGGTGCGCGGGTTCTTGAAAGGGTCGGATGGGGTTCGACGAACCGAGAGCGGCGGGCCACGTGATCATGGTGGGCCGCACGGGCGAATGGTCGGGGGGGGGGGGGGGGGCTGGTAGTGGGCGGGGCGACTTATGGAGGCAAACAAGAGGCGCCCCCCGATCCTGGTTCAACTTTGTGTTGAGCACCTCGAACTCGGCGTCGGTCATCCGCCTCTTAACCTCGTTGAGGTTCTTCGTGGTCATGCACTCCCGGCTCCACCTCCCGACTGTGTGATGCTCACGCCCGTTCTGCCTGGTCCCGTCACTCACCCTCTGTCCACAGCCAAGGGGGCGCGCGACCGCATACATCCCGCCAGCCTTATGCGCGACAGGCGGCCCAACGAGATCACCGCCCCCCCCTCCCAAGAGAACCCCTCATCCCCTTTGGGGGGACGTTTGCACCCCCGCCCACGTTGTCCTCCAAAGGACTTGGGCGGGGAGGGTCGCGAGCGGTCTTGCAGGGTGTGCAAGATGGCGCAAGACGGTTCCACGATGGCCTGAAAGAGCCCAATCTGGCTTCCTAGATCGCCCAAAACGCCAACATGGCGCCAAGAGGCACCATGGCGGCCGCGTGACGGATCCAAATGTTTTGGAGACCCCACAGGGTTTCCCCGGGTAGTCAGCATCATTCGAACACCAAGGGGGGAACAGCGATGTTGGCGTCGTCTCCTTCCCGCCTCCGATGCGATTTTGATGCTTCAAGGCAGCTCCAAGATGGTTCAAGAGAGCTCGAAGATGGGCCCGTGAGCCCCCGCGACGGTGACACGGGCGCACACTATCCCCACGGGAGGCTATTCCGATGACCCCAGCAGGGCTGCGAACATGTGGCACCCCCCCTCCGTTGACCGATGGCATCCAATATGGCCCCAGGAGGCGCCCCAGGGCTCCACAGAGAACGCCGAGAGAGCACCGCGGGAACCCCGCGACGGGCGAGTGCCCGCATGCGCCCCCCCAAAAAGCCCCCTGCGAATTCGCGCGCCATCCAGCGGGCCCCAAAGGGTCACCACCATGCCCCCGCAGAGCCCCGAGAGGACCCCGCGACGACCCCGAAAAGTCCAAACGTTTCAAGAAGGCCTTCGATGCTCAAAGATACGCCACCGACGTGGCTCAACGCACCCCCCTCCTCTCGTTGACCGCGCTGTTTCACTATATGAGTATGTGCGTTTCATTTCCCGTCAGCTCTCGTGGGCGGGGCTTCTGAATGAGTTGGTTGGGATTCGCGCGGACAACCATTGGCCTGATCAGCGGGGCCCCGACGAGGAGGGTGACCATGGGGGGCAGGAGGTCGCAGTTCGAGCAGCGTGATCTTGAGAACGGCGGAATGGCGATAGAAGGGGATGGCGGTGACAATGCAGGGATGAGCGGGTGCAAGGGGGGTGGTAGATGATCAGGGAAGGGGGTGCGCGCCGTGTCACAACCGCATGACTCGCCTTTCCTTTGCCTCGTCGCTGCTCGTCATGCTCCCGCCCGCCTCTCCACCAATTGTCATCGTCCCCCTCGCATGCTGCCGTCTCGCAGCGTGCTTCCCTCGCCTCGTCAGACGGCCCGCGGGGTGTCTCCGACAAATGAAGACAGATGGCGCGGATGCAAGTGTGAATGGGCCCTGGAGTGGAGGAGGGGACTATGACCTAACCTCGGAGTGCAGGATGAGACCACGCGGATGTTGCCGATGGGGCGGTGAGCCCCAGCGACGACGCGACTGGGAGGGGGGCGGGGGGGAAGAGGGAAGGTGGAGCGACATGTGTATTCCAACACTGGGCAAACGTGACCGACTGTCACGACTTCTTGGTCAAGGCGCGCCCCAGTTCGCACCAGAGTGTCGCACTGCGCTGCGCAGTGGCCAAGTTAACTGAGCGGCCCGCATCTTGCGGCGCCCGCGCACTAGAGCCTGAAGCAAGACACGGCGCCGAAAAGCCCACCACCAGACCCGAAGATCCCGCGCGTCTCAACATCGTTGGATGCACCGCCTGGGTCGGCGTCGGCGGCGCCGCTGGACAGGTCGCCCGCGGCGGCCCTGGTGCCCAACGCGGCCAGGGGTGAATCCATGGTCTTGCCAGCAGGCGGCGGGGGCGGTGGCGGCGGCGTAGGTGCGTCGGCCGATGGCGCAACCTCGGGCGACTCAACTCTGCCGTGCACGTCAGGTGATTTGGCGCTGAGCCGCCGCCTACGCGACGGGCGTGGGCTACCGAACTCAGTGTGCGCCGCATGGGGCGCCGCCTCCTCTCCAGCAGTGTCCCTGGGCGGAACTGGCGCGCGCTTCGGCGCCTTCTTTGTGTGGCGGGGGTCTGCGGCTGCAGGTCGCTTCAGCGTGCCAGCCTTGACATCGGCGATGGCATTCGTCTTGGTCGGGTCCAATTTGTGACGCTTGCCACCCCTGCTGCCCGTGCTGGTCTCGTCGCCCTTGTCGCCCCTGCCGTCCACGTGGTCGATCTTCTCGTCGTTGGAAATCCCCGCCGACTCGTCAGCCTGCTCGGATGCATATTCTTGGTCGTCGTCCTGTGAGCCCTCCGCATCGGCAAGTTCGTCGGCATCTTCGTCGTCATCGAGTTCATCGATGCCCTTATCAACGACCTGCTTGGGCATCTTGGCGGCGCTGCTCTTCTTCTTTGCCGTGGCCGCCGCTGGTCGTCTCATGGGGCAGACGGTCGCCGCATCTGCCTTCTTCTGCTCATCCTTGAATTTCTTGATGAATGCGCGCTTGATCACCTCGATCTCCTCCTTGCTGGTCTTCCCAGCCGCCAGCAGTCTCGTCTGCTTCTCCAGCATCTCCTCGTGCCCAACCATGCCCGCGTGGGGTACGAAGTTGGCGATCATGCGCTTCTTGCCCTTCGGGAACTCCCAGATCCCCATCTGGGGGCTGCCATTCCTCGTCCACTTGCTGAGCTGGAACTTGGACGCGCCACTGGCCAGCTCGACGATAATGTTGCTACCTTTCTGGCACTTGCCACCATTGTCCAACTGCTTCCACTCCCTGATGGTCTTGTACACAAGGCCCGCGATGACCGCGCTGGCACCGCCCTTGAACTTGGCGATCACCTCGTCGTGGTCGGCGGCCAAGGGGTCGTCCTGGAGCGGCATGGCGTGCTCTGGCGCTGGGTTGGCAATGCTCTGGTCCAGGCGGTACGCCCTCTTGGTGACCATGTCAACAGAGTACGTGTACGTCGGCTCCTCTGGCGAGCGCAGCTCCATGGGCGATGATGCGCGGACTGTGCGATGACCATGGCCGCGGGTTTCTTCCGTCTCCACGCCCTCTGGTCATATCCCGCCACCATGGGCATTGCGCCCGTCCGCGCCCTATCGCCCACGCAAATGGGCGGCTGGCGCGTCCTTCGCCGCGCCGGGCTTCTTCATCTGCTCAACGAAGGGCTGCGCCCACGCGCAGGAGTCGGGATAGCGCCCCTCGCGCTTCATGTTCTTCAGCACCGCTTGTTGGACGTGCCTCACGACAATGCTGTTTCGACGGGGGCAGTCAATGCGGGGCGGTGGCGGTGAGTGGGAGGGGGGGGGGGGATTTCGCAGACAGTTCGTGTTAGCGTTGCAACCCCGCCATTTTGAACGACAGCGCCGTCTTGGATTTGGACGGGGCTTGGACGCGTCCATGGTCGCGTCCATGGACGCGACCATGGACGCGACCATGGGCGCGACCAAGCCCCGTCCAGCGCGCGCGTTCGGCGCGGCGCGCATCCAGCGCCGAGTCGAACGCGCGCCCATGCTCGAAGGGCGTGGGGGCTTCCTGGCGGGCGTCAGGGGCCTCTTGGGGGGCTCTTGGGGACCTCTCGGAAACAGTATAGGCTGACTGTAGGCCCTCTCGGGGCGCCGTTTGATGCCTGGATGGAAATGAACGGGGATGGTGAGGACATAGTTGGGGTTCGCCGTTATTGCTCTGGGAGTGGATGGGAGGCCGGATGGCAGGGGGCGAGGAGAGGCGGAGCACGTGCGCAATCCCCCCAGGGCACCTGCTTGATAGCATTGTCCAGCTCGCCCCTGGTCTCCTTCCCTGCTGCGAACTTCCACTCGTTCGTGCCCTCAGCTGCGTCCGCTTTGATCAGCGCCTCCAACGTGGACACCTCCCCTTCCGCACGACATGTTCGCTGTTATCACATCACTCTCCGTCTCGCCATCGCACGCCTATCGCTCCCGACGCCAAGCTCGACCACCACGTCCCATGAATATATGCCCCATCCCACCCTCTCAGCCCGCTTCCCGTCTCCCCGCCCTCGCCCATGCACTTCCTCATCATCGTATTCACGCCTCCTCGTCCCTCTCGTTCTGTATTATTGTTCATACCTCTCTCTCCATCTCTCTCTCTCTCTCTCTCTTTCGCTCTCTCTCTCTCTCTCTCTCTCTCTCTTGTTCGCCCTCTCTCTCTCTCTCGCTCTCTCTCTCTCTCTCGCTCTCTCTCTCTCTCTCTCTCTCTCTCCCTCTCTCTCTCTCTCTTATAACTCCAGTCACGTTGCCATCCCGTCCTGCTCCTGCGTCTCACCCCGCCCGCTCCGACATGACGTATCGTCCACCTCTCATTGCTCCCCCCACCCCGCATTTCGCGTTGTTCTCATTCGTATCCTGATCCTCATCCTCCTCCTCCACCTTTCCCTCGTCCGCCTCATCGCTCCTCTCGGCCCAACTCCCCGTCGTCGTCGCTATCCTCATCGCGTCGGCTGCGTCGGTTATCATCGCGCCGTCGGCTTCGTCGAGCTCAGCATCGCCACTCGGCCCTGGCTCCCCCCCATCAAAGCGGCGCCCCCCCCCTGTGTGCCTGGGATGTGTACTGCGCGAACAGCGTGCGCAGCTTGCGGAAGTCCTTCATCCACTCGGGTGCCTTCACGGCGAGCTTCTTCTTGGTGCCGTTGCCGTCGCCATCGCCGCCTCCCTTGCCGCTGGCGGCCTCGTGTCCAGGCCCCCCTGTCGCGGCTGCGGCTGCCTGCTTCTCCTCGCTGGGCGCCTCTGCGCCAGGGCGCGGCAGCGGAGTGCATGGCGCGCTCGCCGCACCATCTGCGCCAGGAAGTGGTTGGTCGCCGACGCAGCCCGACTCCATCCAGACCTCGTGGCTGGTCCAGCTCTGCTGCCACGTGTCCCCCAACGAGTGCTCCACGTAGAGGTAGAACAGGCAGTCCGTCATGTTGCACCACTTCGTGAAGATGCCCCCCATCAGCACTGCCTTCCCAGCATACGTGTATGCCAGCTTGGCACCAGTTGACCCCCCGCCAAACTTCCACGCCAGCCTGGCCAGCGGCATGTAGACGCCCTTCATCGTCTGCTTCTTGCTGTTCGTCTGCGTCTTGCTGAACTCCCGCTTCTTCTGCCACCTGTGGAACGACCACTTCGCCCACTCCTCGCGGACCGTCTTTTTGGCTGGGTAGCCCTCCGCCGCCAGGTACTTCTCAGACCACTCGTTCGATGTCTCCATCACTCTGGCCCATCTGCCCGCGATCGCGTTGCCCTTCTTCTTCCCCGTGCTGAACTTGAACGACCTCTCCTCCAAGGACTCCCGCATGAGGCGCTCCTCCCTGTCAAGAGCCGGCTCCTTCGGGTCGGCGCCGAAGTCGTCATCCAGAGACTTCTCCGCGGTCTCAGGGCGCATCGCGCGCAGCTGCACGATCAAGGAGCCCTTGTAGAAGTCCTGGAAAGTCTTGCCCATCTCGTCCAAGTCCGCACCCGTGTCGGATGCGACCAGCTCGTCGAACTTCTGCTTGAGCTTCTCCGCCAGCTGCTCCTTGCTGATGCCGCAGTTGCCATCGAGAGGTGCCCGCGCCATCTGGTCGATGCTCGGCGCTGTCATCGCCTGCTGCTTGTTGATGTGGCTGCTCTCGATTGGCTGCTGCAGGCGCTGGCCCACCAGCTGCGGCGGCGCCGTGAGCGGCCGCTGCGAGCGCGGATGCGCTGGCACGCGCTCCTCCGCGCGTGGCGGGCTCACGAGGCGATTACTCTGCCACCTCTTGGACTTCTTGGTCTCCACTTGCACATCGTCTGTCAGCGACCGCTTGAAGGATGGCAGCACTGGCGTCTCCTGCTCGTCCGAAGTCTGCTGCGAGAGCCCGATCGGCAGCTGCGAGCCCGAGTCCGCTGGATTGTACGATGGCGTGTCCGCCAGCTGCGGCGTCTCTGGCGCTGGTACCCAGCTCGCTGACCTCGGGCGCGACCTCGGCGAAGTAATGGCAATAGCTTGCAGTGGCTCCTGAGGAGACCAAGCGAACGCAACAATCACTGTGGTCATGGGCTCGTCGGGTGAGGAGCCCACCACCCGACCAGGTCATGTTGCTGTCCGTTTGGCCCTCCTGTCCTCGTCCGAATCGATCTGCTCCACCGAGGGCGTGGGCGGAGGCGGGCCACGGGGCGTCCCAGGACTCGGGGCGGCCGGGGGCGGCAAGCTGCTCCTCGGCTCCTCGGCTGGCTGCATCTTCGCTAGGCGCCGCTCCTCGGCTGGCTGCATCTTCGCTGCGCGCTGCTCCTCGGCTGGCTGCATCGTCGCTGCGCGCCGCCCCTCGGCTGGCTGCATCTCTGCGCGCTGCTCCTCGGCTGGCTGCATCTCTGCGCGCTGCTCCTCGGCTGGCTGCTTCTCTGCGCGCTGCTCCTCGGCGGGCTGCTTCTCTGCGCGCTGCTCCTCGGAGGGCTGCCCATGCTGCCGCTCCTCGGCGGGGTGCGCCTTGGCGCGCAGGTGGGTCACTGCTGCAGCCGCGCCTTCATAGTAGGGCAGCGTCTGATCTAGGTTCAGGGCGTCGAACTCCTCCTGGATCTCCTGCTCCGTCAGTGAGCGCTCGCTGGCCTCCTGCATTGCCTCCTGCACCATGGTCTCGATGCCCCTGGACTCGACCTCGGTGTCTGAGCCGTCGATCTTGTCGACTGCCGCCTGGGGCGGGGCAGTGCTGGGAGGAGGTATGGTGTAACCGTCATGCTCATCATCATCATCATCCTCATCATCATCATCATCATCATCATCATCAGCATCACTATCATCATCGTCATCATCATCATCATCATCATCATCATCCTTATCATCATGATCGTCATCCTCCTCATCATCGCCAGCATCACCATCATCGTTCTCATCATCCACATCCTCACACCCCTGGATCCGACTTGGGCTCGATTTGGGCCCGTTTGGACGCGTCCAAATCGAATCCAAATCGGCCCAACACTGCACCCGTGCGCGCTCCACTCGGCACGCCCAATCAGCGCACAGGGCACCCGCCACGCGCGCCCAAGGGCGCCCACCAGGCGAAACCTCTGCAGACCCATCCCGCCCTCGGAGCCCCCACGAGGCGCCCACGCACGTCCATGATGCGAAACCTCGGCAGGCTCAAGGCGGGCATGCCCCCCTGCAGGCGGATTTTGAAGTGGAAATGGACAACTAATCCAAACATTTTCGGGCACGCGGGAACAAACATACTCTGCGTATCTTATAAATATATAGACGTGCGTATGTATTAAAACAGCTCCATATAACATTTATACACATGTAAAACGGTACGCAATTGACCATATATAACGAACCAAACAAACAAATGATAGCATACATAAATAACTACATAAATACCTACATACATAAATGCATAAATAATTACATGGCTCTATACATACATGAATAATTAAACACATCAACACATAAGTGTTTATATGTAAGCCCGCTGGCCTGTCGCGGGCTCGCGTCCGCCGCCAGGGCGTCAAGGCCCGTAAGCCCCATCGCCTTGGAGGTGGAGGAGGAAGAGGAGGAGCAGGAGGATGAGGAGGAGGCCAACGCACCACGACGACGGCGACGACGACGACTGCGACGTAGGAGGAGGAGGAGGTGGAGCAGGAGGAGGAGGAGGAGGAGGACGCGGAGGAGGACGAGGAAGAGGAGGAGGAGGAGGAGGAAGAAGAGGAGGAGGAGGAGGGGAAGGATGAGGATATGGAAGACGAAGAGGAGGAAGAGGAGGATGAGGACGAGGCGGAGAAGGATGAGGATATGAGGATGATGATGCTGATGATGATGATGATGATGATGATGATGATGATGATGATGATGATGATGATCCTGGTCGCCCTCCCTCCTCCCCGTGTCATCCTCATTCCTCGCCTATCCTCAATCATTCCTCATCCTCCTCATCTCCATCGACCTGTTCTTCATCATCCTGTTTTCCTCCTCATCATCTCCCTCCTCCTCCTCCCCCTTCTCCTCCTCTTCATCATCATCATCATCATCATCATCATCATCATCATCATCATCATCATCATCATCATCATCCGTAGCCATTTTTGGCTCAAGGCGGCCCTTGGCTGTATTGCCACCCCGCGTGCCCCCTAGCCTGCCCCGCACCCCGCGTGCCCTTCTTGGCTGCGCCGGCCCTCCCCATGGATCCGTCGCCCCGTGTTGCCGACGACCCCTACTTGCTGGTGTGCCAGCTGCACGGCCGTCTGCTACGGTCCTGTGCCGGCGTGCTGGCTCTTCATCCGCAAGGCCTGGCACAAGCGTCTCGGGAACTACGTCGCGAGCGGGCCCTGCCGCCTTCCATCGCGAACAAGCTGATCAAGATCGACTTCGCCTACAACCTGATTCGACATATAACGATTCGCTCTGTTACAGACTTTATCGATGAGGTCTCCGGTATCTTGCGCGGTGAGCCAGTTGCTGACTGTGAAAATGCTCCTGGTTGTGGTCCTGAAGGTCGTGCCGACGATCGTGATAATCCAGGGGTACCTCCTGAGCCTGGTTGTGCGGATCCTCCTGATGAGCTGGGTCCTGAAGATCTTCGTGAGGTTCCTTTGGTCACAGACTTTATCCAGGAGGTCTCCGGTATCGTGCGCGGAGAGCCAGTTGCTGACGGAGATGCTGTTCCTGGGCTTTCTGGAGGTCGGGTCTATGATCTTCGTGAAGACGTCCTTCCTGGAGGCGCTGACGCCGAACGTCGTGGCGAGGACCTTCGTGATGATGCTGGTGGTGTCCCTGCAGATGCTCATGTCTGTGGTCGTCCTGTCGATGATCTTCGTGAAGCTGTCCCTCCTGGAGATGCTGATGCCGAACGTCGTGGAGAAGACCTTCGCGGTGGAGCTGGAGATGTCCATGCAGATGCTCATGACTGTTGTCGTCCTGCCGTTCCTGACGGACTGGGTCCTGAAGATCTTCCTCGTGTAGTTCGTTTGGTCACAGACTTCCGCAAGGAGGTCCTTGGTTTCGTGAGGGAGCCAGGTGCGGACGGTGACGCTGTTCCTGGGCTTCCTGGGGGTCGTGTCGATGATCTTCGTGAAGACGTCCTTCCTGGAGGCGCTGACGCCGAACGTCGTGGAGAAGTCCTTCGTGATGGCGCTGCTGTTGTCCCTGCAGATTCTCATGACTGCGGTCGTCCTGTCGATGCTCATCGTGAAGACGTCCTTCCTGGAGATGCTGATGCCAAACGTCGTGGAGAAGGCATTCGTGGTGGAGCTGGAGCTGTCCCTGCAGATGCTCATGACTGTGGTCGTCCTGCCGATCGCGCTGATCATCCTCGTGAAGTCGACCTTCCTGGAGATGCTGGCGCCGACCGGCGTGGAGATGACCTGCCAGGTCGTCCAGTCCTGGTCCTGCTTCCCGAGCCTGTTGGTTGCGATCTTCGTAGGGAATCGGGTCGTGCCGCTCCTCTTCCTGTACCTGGTCGCGCAGATCGTGTGGTACCGTTGGAGGTACGGTTCCCAGTGGGATGCCGCGTCGTAGTTGAAGGCATGGCGACTCTGCGCTCTGCTGGGACATCGTCATTCCTCGCAGTGCAAGACAGATTCAAGGTGCTTGGATATGGCTTCGGACGATTCGCTGGTAGTCTTCGCGTGGCTGTCGAGCGACATCCTCTCGGCTACAGGTTCGGCTTCCTCGATGCTGAGCTGGCCAAGCGGCCTGAGTCTTCCGTTGACCATGTGGATGAATTGTGCATTGGTGCAGGAGTTCGTTGCGAAAGGTCGGAATTTGGATTTCACATTGCATTTTCGGTTCTACGCAAGATTTTCCTCATGGTCCCAATCAGACAGAACCCTGGCGGAGGTGAGAAAACATCGTCATCATCATCATCATCATCATCATCATCATCATCATCACCAGGGGTGTGGGGGGGGTTACCCGTGCGTCGCCAGCGGTCTCCGCTGCATCCAGAGTCGGATGTCGGCCCACCGCGGCTCGACCTGCATCTGCAGGGTTCGAGCCAGGGCCTTCCGACGAAGGGGAGAGGTAGGAGGGGAGGGAAGATGGGAGACAAGGGATGACCCTGCTGCTGATCCTCCTGCTGCTCCTCCACATCCATCACTCCTCCTCCCGACGCGAAGAATCAACGGGATTATGGGGGCTCAATGCTGCAGAAACATAACAAAAAAAAGGCAATGTGTATGATATCACGTAAGGGTACTATTCTCTTAAATCAAGCATATTAGAAAATAAGAAGCTACTTACCCGATCTCAAATTAAGATCCTGCCGGCCTCTGGGTAGGACGCCCCCGGAGGCCACCAAGAGGCTTCCAAGAAGCCCCGTGAGGCTCCCAAGAGGCCCCCCCCCCGGAAGCCCCAGTAGGCCCCCAAGGTGCCCCCAGGGAAGCCCCCTGCGGGCCCCCAAGACGTTTTGGTAAATCGTATTTCCCAGATAGCTTTCCGGGAACCTGATTCCTTGGGCTTCTGCCCACCGCCCCAACCATATTTCAAGCAATAGGCTTGCCGACAAGGCCAAAAGGCGCCCCTCGGTAAGCCCCCAGAGGCCTCCCTCTTAGAGAGCCGAACAAATCATGCTCCCGGAAAGCTTCCCGGGAGCATGATTCTCTTTTTTTTTTTCTCTCTCTCTCTCTCTCTCTCTCTCTCTCGGAGTAGGCCAGGGGGGGGGGCGGGCCGCTGCCTGTTCCCCCCATCGGTGCCCACCGGGGGTTGCGGGGGGGTCCAGAGCTTCCGAGGCGGCCCGAGTCGGCCACGACAGGCTAAGGGGGCCCCGAGAGGGCCCAAGACGGTCCCAAGAGGCCCCACCCGAAGACGCCCAGAATGCCCTCAAGACAGCCGACGGGGACTCCAACACGCTCCAGGACGGACTCAAGCGGCTCCCCAAGCGGGCCTTGGAAGGCAAGATTCACTCGCCAACTGATATTTCGAGGTCTCTGGCCCTAGAGGCCGCCTGTAGGCCCCCGGAGGCCACCAAGAGGCTCCCACGAAGCCCCGTGAGGCGCCCAAGAGGCCCCCAGGAAGCCCCAAGAGACCCCCAAGTGGCTCCCAGGGAACGCCCAAGAGGCCCCCCAACACACCCCAAGAAATCATGTCCCCAGAAAACCTTCCGGGGACATGCTTCATCATGGACCCGAGAGTTCCCGGAGGCCCTCAAGGGGCCCCAGGGAACGCCCAAGAGACCCCCCAACACACCCCAACAAACCATGTCCCCAGAAAACCTTCCGGGGACATGGTTCGTTATGGGCCCGCGAGTCTCCAGAGGTTTCAAAGTACCATCATGCTACAGGAGAGCTGTCCGGGAAGTTGATTGGGAACATGACTGATCGCCTTCTCGCGGCCCTCCGCAGATCGTTTCGCACAAAGTTGCCCCAAGTGCCCTCTTGAACCGGCGATGACGACGACGACGAGACGACGAAGACGATGACGACGACGATGACGACGACGACGGCGCGTCCCAATAGGCGACGACGACATTACGACGACGACGACGCCGACGGTACGCCCCAACAGGCTCCCCAAGACGCCCCCAAACCCATGCTCCCAGAAGGCCTTCTGGGAACCCGATTCATACGGCCTCCGCCCCCCATACACAACCATTTTCCTCGAAGGCCTTTCCGAATGCAGATTGGCATGCGTGGGCTGTGGTCCCCTACTTCAGTGGAGCAGTGAATTCGTCAAGGCCTGGGGCCTGCTAGAACCTGAGCGCGCGCGAAGCGCGCGCGATGGTTCTAGTATATATATATATATAGAGAGAGAGAGAGAGAGAGAGAGAGAGAGAGAGAGAGAGAGAGACAAAGAGAGAGAGAGAGAGAGATATGGGAGAGAGGGAGAAATAGGCAGGGGGCGCGGGAGGGGAGAGAGGGAGAAATAGGCAGGGGGGGGGGCTGGGGGAGCGCATGGATAGGGTGAGGGGAGGGGAGCGAGGGAGAGGTGTGAGGACGGTTGGGCGCGGAGCAAACATGGGCTTTCCCTTGCTCCGTCCAGGCGCAGGGAGAACGGGCACTTCCACGCTCTCTGCCAGGTCCTGCAGGCCAGCCTCCGGTTTTTCCCCGGGCTCCGCCGCGGGGGGGGCGGTCAGCAGCTTGAAGACCGGAGGCCTTCTCGTCGAACCTTGGGGCCTGCTTCTCCTCCACATGCTCTTGTCTTCTCGTCTCTTCGCTTTTAGTCTCTTGTCTTCTACCATGGAATCGTTCAGCATCTCCTATTTCCAACGAAAAACCATTTGTATAATCCGAGCGGCGATTCAAACATTCGGATTCACCTGTCAGGCGACTTTCGCGCGATCGTTCACCTGTCGGACGCCTGTCGCGTGCTTGTTTGCCTGTCGGGCGCCAGTCGCGTGCTCGGAGGACCCACCCGATCGCTTCCAGACCATGGGAGCGGCCCAGAAAATTTCGAAAGGACTTTACCGAGTCTTCCCACGAGGAAGCGCCGCAACGGTATTATAACGGAAGCCCAACGCTGCGCGTACGGATGCCGATGCACCACGCGCGGCTCATCCTGTAAGGCACCAAACCCGTGCGAACGCCCATAATTTTAGATCTCTCCCTGGGCCAAGTACCCAAAGAGAATGCTCAGATATCGCCGTGCCCATACCATCACCGTGCAGCGCACGGGAGGGGGAAGACGACGAGCGGAAGGGTGAGCGGCGGAGGAGAGGCAGGCGACTCCCGCCCAGCGGCCACCTCGGCCGCTTGCCGCCGGCCGTCCCGCCTCTTCGGCTCCTCGCGGTCCCCTGCCGTCGCCGTCCCTCCCCCCTCGCCTCCCTCGCTCCGCGGCGCTTCCGTGCCTCGTCTTCTGCCCGAGAGCAGCCTTCCTCCCCCGCCCGCCGTGCGCCTGGAGGAGAGGGGGGGCTCGTGGGCCTCGGTCGTCTGAGGAGCCTGGCGGCCGGCGGCAAGCTGCACGGGAGGTGGAAGATGAAGGGGTGGTGGAGGATGGTAAGGGTGCTCTTCTTCCTCCTCCTCCTCCTCCTCCTCCTCCTCTTCCTCCTCCTCCTCCTCCTCCTCCTCCTCTTCCTCCCTTCTCCTACAGGAGGTGGGAGATGGAGGACAGTGACCAATAATGACGACAATGATGACAGTGAGGAGGGTGGTAAGGTTTGTTCCCGCCCCGGATCCTGACGTCCCCGGAGGTCCCCAGAGGTACCTGGAGGTACTCCGAGGCGCGAACGGGCCGGAAACGTCCCATGAACGCTGGGAGCCCTCCTCGATCGTCAACCATGGCCAGCCCCGAGGCGCGAAAGGGCCAGAAGCGTCCCCTGAACGTTGGAAATCGTCTGGAAGCCCTTCTCGATTCTCGAGGAGGGCCGGCTCCGAGGCGCGAAAGGGCCAGAAACGTCCCCTGAACGTTGGAAATCGTCCGGAAGCCCTCCTCGATCCTCGAGGAGGGCCAGCCCCGAGGCGCGAAAGGGCCAGACACGTCCCCTAAACGTTGGAGCGAGGGGCAACACTTCACTGAGGCTGAAGAGGAGGACGAGGGGCGCCCCGCGGGAAGCGGTGCCCCTCGCCGAACGCAGGAAGGGAGAAGGAGAAGGAGAAGGAGGAGGAGGAGGAGGAGGAGGAGGAGGAGGAGGAGGAGGAGGAGGAGGAGGAGGAGGAGGAGGAGGAGGAGGAGGATCAAGACGTCGGTGGGGTGGTGGACGACGGAGAGGAGGATGACTCAGACCGACTGCCCATGCACGTTCGGATGCCCCGATGCTGCAGATGTGCAGCGGCACTACATGTCTTGTCCGATTTTATGTGGAACGATTCGTAATGTCTGGCATCCGCAGACCCCCAATGAGGTTTTCCTGGACCTCGTCTTATGATGCTCCAACCTACTTCAGCCTTGATCATCAGAAATAATTTCGAGGGCCCAAAAAAGTAACGGAACTCAAGGGTTTCATGTCTTGGGCCCTGGGAGACACTCGCCCGACATTTTTCGACACTGTTTCGACACTCTTGTGACACTTTTCCGGGTGCTCGAAATTATTTCTGGGATGGGAACAACATAAACCTCGTCTAGGCTTTGCCAAGGCCGTGCCGGTTCCCAAAAGGTTCCTGGCGGTCCAGAGGCTGATTTTGAGTTTTTTTGTGCAATGCGGTCCGATGATCTCCAAGGATCGAGCACAATGATGTGCAAGTGTTTGCCCGTGCTGCCCGTTCTCAGCTGTTACAGCAAGCGCAGGCAGAGGAGGCTTAGCCCCGAACGAACCTGGTCCGAGCTACGTGCGAGGATGAGGAGGAGGCGGAGAAGGAGGATGAGGATGATGAGGAGGAGGCAGGATGGAGGAGGAGGAGGAGGAGGAGGAGGAGGAGGAGGAGGGAGAGGAGGAGGAGGAGAGGCCCTGAGGAGGAGGAGGGAGGAGAGGAAGGAGAGGAGGAGGAGGAGGCGGATGCTTGGAGGCGAGGAGGAGGAGAGGAAGAAGGGAGGAGGAGGAAAGGAGAGGAGGAGGAGGTAGGAGGAGGAGGTAGAGAGGAGGATGCAGCACGGGTTGGAGACGGTCCGCCTCGCGGGGTGGGGGGGGGGGGGGGGGGGGGGGGGTGCGGAGGGGCAGGAGCTCCGCGCCCAGGGGGCCCTCCAGGCAACGGCGCCTGTACCGCTGCTCCCTCCGCTTCGCTCCTCCTCCCTCGTCTTTTTTCCTCTTCCTCCTCCTCCTCTCCCCTCCTCCTCCTCCTCCTCCTTCTTGCCTCCTCCGCCCTCCTCCTCCTCCTCCTCCCTCCTCCTCCTCCTCCTCCTCCTACCTTCCCGCCTCCTCCCGCCTCCTCCCCCTCCCTCCTCCTCCTCCTCCTCCTCCTCCTCCTCCTCCTCCTCCTCCTCCTCCTCCTCCTCCTCCCTCCTCCTTCTCCCCCTCTTCGTCGTCGTCGTCGTCGTCGTCGTCGTCGTCGTCGTCGTCGTCGTCGTCCTCAAGTCGGAACGTTCTCTCGACGTCGTTGTCATCCTCCTTCCTATTCCTGTCCTCGGCCTGCCTCCTCCCTTCTCCCTTTTCCCTGTTCCCTCTTCCATTCTCCTTCTCCTCTCTTTCTCCCCTCCTCCGTAGCCAATTTTCCGTCCTCTTGGATCAAGCGGCGCTTCGCCGCTGGGCAGTGCGCACTACCCCGCCCCCCCCCTCCCTTGCGGACGGCGGCCATTCAGGGCGCAGGTGCCGGCGGCGAGCAAGAGGGGGAAATGGGAAGGAGAGGGCCTTCTCAACGGCGGCGGGGCTTCTGCGAAGGCACCCGGCCTGCTGAGAGGGTGTCTCTGTATCAGGGGAAGGCTCCGAAGACGGCTTCGCAGAAGGCTGGGGGACTCCCGAGCCTCCCGAGGAGTCCCGCCCCTCCTCTCGCTCTTCCCCGCCCAGGGCCTCGCCGCCCAGAGGCGGGCGATGGTCCGCGCAGTGGTGAAGAACACCTTCGTCGAGCTCGAGGCGGAGGAGGGCGACGAGGGAGCCGAGGGGCTCCCCGCCGGGCGCAGGGCGCGCTGCCAGTCGCTGGGCGCGGGGCGCCCAGGGCTCCGCGCGGGCGGGGGGGGGGCCGTGCCGTCCGCGGTGGTGCTGCTGGGCAGCCTGAACCGCCTGCTCCGGGCCGGCGCCCCCGCCGAGGCTCCCGCCGCGCTCTCGCCACGGGGGAAGGGGGCTCGGAGGCATTCTCGCCGTGATCTCGGGCCCTCGGGGCCCCCGGGGGGCCCGGGACTTTTTCCTCTTTCCTCCTTCCTCCTCCTCCTCCTACTCCTCCCCTCCTCCTCCCCTCCTCCTCCTCCATCCTCCTCCCCTCTTCCTCCTCTTCCACCTCCTCCTCTCCTCCTCCTCCTCCTCCTCCTCCTCCTCCTCGTCCTCCTCCTCCTCCTGCCTCCTCCTCCTCCTCCACCTCCTCCTCCTCCATCCTCCTCTCCTCCTCCTCCTCCTCCCTTCTGCTGCTCCTCCTCCTGCAACTCCTCCTCCTCCTCCGCCTCCGCCTCCGGCCATCCGCTCCTCCTCCTCCTCCTCCTCCTCCTCCTCCCCTCTCCTCCGCCTCCTCCTCCTCCTCCGCCATCCTCCTCCTCCGCCTTCTCCTCCTCCTCCTCCTCCGCCTCCTCCTCCGCCTCCTCCTCATCCTCCGCCTCTTCCTCCTCCTCCTCCTCTTCCTCCTCCTCCTCCTCTTCCTCCTCCTCCTCCTCCTCCTCCTCCTCCTCGCGTCAGCAGACGACCCAGGAGGCAGGCCTCGTCCTGGGGGCAGACCTTAACAGGGTCCAGGGGACCCGTCTCCCTCGGGACCCGCCCCGCCCCCCGTGCTGGGCGTCGCGCGCGAGGAGGGGCCCTCGGTCGGCGAGCTGCGCGAGCTGCAGCGCCGGCTCTTCGAGCTCACCTCGCGGAAGCCCCCGGGCGGCGGGGGTCTCGCGGGCTCGCGCGGCGTGCCGAGCAGCGGCTCCCTGAGCACGATGGCGCCGGGGGAGGATCGGCTGCGCGTCGGAATGGCCCTCGCCCGAGGCGGGGATTTCCACACAACCGCCGCCTGGAGGATCGATTTTCGGAGACCTCGGCGGGCGGTGGATACGGATTTATTTTTTGGCCTCCAGGGGGCCAAATCTATGTCCATCTCCACCGCCCGTTGGGTCCCCAGGGCGTCGGTTCCCAGGCGGTGGGTATGAACAAATCCCCGCCTCGCACCTCGGCCCCCCGCCCGGGGTGACTTCTAGTGCGGGCCCCGAGCAGGGCTCATTTCGATGCCTCCGATTCGTTTCGATTCGATTCCGATGGCTGCCGATGCTGATTCGATTCGACTTGGGATGCCGATTCGGACTCAGATCTTTGCATGCAGGTCTGCCAGCTTGCCGATTTCCGCCGATTCGACTTCTCCCGACTCGGCTGCCGATTTCCGCTGAGCCGATGCATTTCGATCGCTGATCCGACTTGTCCATTCGATTCTGGGCTCTCATGCCAGAGGGGTGCCCCCAGCTCTGGCGAGGCTGGGACAGGGATAAATCGTTCCAGAGCGTTTCGGAACGCTCTGAGAAGACCACGGCTCCTGATACATCCTCCAGAACCGCCGCATCTCACAGAGCCCCGATTTGTCCCTGCACGATTTTGTCCCTGTCCTGGCTTCGTCTTGCCAGCGTTGGCTGGATTTTGCCCCCCGACCCCCCCCCACCCCCCTCTCCCCCTCCTCCTGAGGCCGCGCACCAAGGAGAATGAGGAGGAGGAGGAGGAGGAGGAGGAGGAGGAGGAGGAGGAGGAGGAGGAGGCGGAGGAGGAGGAGGAGCACGAGGAGGAGGAGGAGGAGGAGGAGGAGGAAAGGAGGTGTAGGAGGGGGGGGTCTAAGGAGGAGGACGAGAGGAGGAAGGAGGAGAGGAGGAGAAGGCAGGAGGAGGAGGAGAGTGAGGAGGAGGAGGAGGAGGAGAGGAAGAAGGGAGAAGGAGGAGGAGGAGGAGGAGGGGAGGAGGCTGGGAGGCGAGGAGGAGGAGGAGGAGCCGGGCCGGGGCGCTGAACAGGAAGAACCGCTCTGGCGCTCGTGGAGCCCGTGCGTGGCCGAGGTTCGCAGTGGCCAGGAAAGCCCTTTCGATCCTGACCCATGCCAAGAAGCACCCTGCTTGCCTCCAGGGTGCCTTGGGTTTCCTGGGTGTCGATGGTTTTGCTATGGGAAGCGCGACGCTCTCACGCCAAACATCCATGGGCGTCTGGGGGTCTCAGGGTTGGGTTTCTTGCGGAAGGTTTCTCGTGGACCGGCCTCCATTATATTTGAGTGATGCAAGAAATTGCGGCGGGGCTAGGGTCCGGATTTCGTCGAGCACGCGGCGAAATCCGAACCCCACCCAGGAGAACCACCACCTGAAGCGACGCAAGGAATCGGGGTCGTCTGCGCCGATCTTTTCGCCGAGCGCGTTTCACTACTCGCAAAGTGCCTACTCGCAAACGTCCGAAAAACACCTGCCTGCTTTGACGTAATTTATCGTAGAACCCTCGCGGGGGATCCAGGCCATTTGCGAGTAGTTACTTTGCGAGTAGTGGAACGCGCTTGTCCAACATGGGCGTGCAAGCGGCTCGCGTAAGGTCGCGCATCGGCGCCTTCGTCTCCAATGCAGCGTGCCGCGCTGGCGGCCCGCGTGAGCCGCCGCGCAAGGTCGCCGTTTCTTTTCGTCGCTCTTGGGGTTCCATGTGGTGGCACGAGAGCTGCAGGGCCACTCCCTTGCGCGCACGCCGAAGGAGGAGGCGACCACGCCGCCTCTGAGCGCGAGGGGCCAGGCTCGGGGCCGCAGGGTCTGCGGCAGCGGCAAGCAGGCGTCGCCCGTCGCTGGGAGGGATCATCCTCGATCGTCGATCCTCGGCCCTCGATCCTCGGTCCTCTTCCTCCCACGGGCGCGGCGGCGCCCTGGCATCCTCGATCCTCCCCCATCCTCGACCCTCATCCCCCTCGGCCCTCGATTCCCACCCCCCCCCGATCCCGTGTCTTCGATCCTCGATCCTGGATCCTCGGTGCTCGATCCCCGATCCTCGGTCCTCCTTGTGTGAGTTGATGGCCAGAAGCTCCGTCGGATATGGCCCCCCCCCCTTTAGGACCGGTCGGCCCTGGGGGGGTGATCAAACTAAACAGCCAGGCCATTGGTATCACCAGCTGTGGCTAGGATGTAACATGCAAGGGTGAAGACATACAAGAAGGCAGACACGGAGGAAGGGGAGAACGGAGAGGAGCCCGGTCCTCCTTCGCTTCCTCCTCCTCCTCCACCTCCTCCTCCTCCTTCTCCCCCTCCCCATCCCCCTCCTCCTCCTCCTCCTCGCCCTCCTTCTCTCCTCCTCCTCCTCCTCCTGCTCCATTCCTTCTCCTTATCAATTTTTCTTTGTCGCACCCCGAGGTCAGTTTTTAGGCGGGCAGGGCGTTTCGCCTGAGACTTCCTCACCACTTATGACCCTGAAGCTTGAAAGTATGCAACAGCTTCACAGATGGAGGGCGGGTCGTTTTCAAACTGTGGCTCTCGCCAGAAAGCCCCGCGCACATTCGTTTTCAAAATGTGCAAGAGTTTCCCGGATTGAGGGCGGGTCGTTTTCAAAATGTGGCTCTGGCCTCAGCGCCGCGAACATTTGTTTTCAACATTTGCAAGGGTTTCACGGATTGAGGGCAGGTCGTTTGCAAAATGTGGCTCTCGCCTTAGCGCCGCGCGCATTCGTTAAAACAATTTGTAAGAGTTTCACGAATTGAGGGTGGGGCGTTTTCAACATGTGGTTTTCGCCAGAAAGCCCCGCGCACATTCGTGCTCTCAATTTTTTAACGAGTTTCACGGATTGAGGGCGGGCCGTTTTCAAAATGTGGCTCTGGCCTCAGCGCCGCGCACATGTGTTGTCAACATTAGCAAGAGTTTCACGGATTGAGGGCGGGTCGTTTTCAAAATGTGGCTCTCGCCTTAGCGCCGTGCACATTCTTGTTTAAGAACTGAAAGAATTTCACGGGTTCTCATGATCGACGTACCAAACACGGCGTCTTCGAAGGATTCACGATTATGAGGGCGCAACAGTTGCGATGATTCGCGGTGTTGAGGTCCCAGGAATGGCGTTCTGGCACGGTTCAGGGTCGTCAAGACGCAACAGTCAGGTTCATCCGTGAGGTTGGAATACCGAGAATAATGTTTTGGCATGCTTCAGGGTCTTCCCAATGGTTGTCATCCAAAGAGGCAGGTTCCTGTGGAATTGAACCGTTGTAGGGGCCTGTGAAGAGGGAGCTTTGGGGGGGGGCATGATGCACGAGGCAGGAGTGTAGGGTTTAGAGCAGCACTGGTTTGGGTCCTCCTCCTCCTCCTCCCTCCTCCTCCTCCCTACCTCCTCCTCTCTCCTCCTCCTCCTCCTCCTCCTTCTCCTCCTCCTCCTCCTCCTCTCCTCCTCTTCCACCTCCTCCTCTCCTCCTCCTCCTCCTCCCCTCCCTAACCTCCTTCCTCCTCCTCCCCCTCCCCTCCCTCTCACCCTCTCCTCCACCTCCCTCTCCTCTCCTCCTCCTCCTCCTCCTCCTCCTCCTCCTCCTCCTTCCTCCTCCTACCTCCCTCCTCCTCCTCCTCCTCCTCCTCCTCCTCCTCCTCCTCCTCCTCCTCCTCCTCCCCCTCGTCCTCCTTCTTCTCCTCCTCCTCCATCCTCCTCCTCCTCCTCCCTCCTCGCCCTCCTCCTCGTCCGTCCTCCTCGTCGTCGTCCTCCTCCTCCTCCTCTTCCTTCTCCTCCTCCTCTTCCTCCTCCTCACTCCTCCTCCTCCTCCGCGCTCCTCCTCCTCCTCCTCCTCCTCCCATGGAGGCGGCGAGTCCCGCCGGCGGAGGGGCGGGCGGTGCCCGCGCGGCGGGGGCCGGGGCCTCCCGCGAGGTACCGAGGCCCCGGGCAGTGCCAGATCGGGGTGGGTGGTGATCGTTTTCTTGTTCGATGTTTTGCCGATCGGCGAGGGCCCTCGCATTACCCCCTCCCTCTCCCCAGATTTTTGGCGCCTGTTTCGAGCAGGCGGAGGTCTCCCCCCATAGTGGACGCCCTGCTGCAGACAGTCGCGCTGAGAGGAGGTCCAGAGCCAGACTCCCCCTCCCCCCCCCTTCCGCCCAATGTCGAAACGCCGAAAAAGAAGACGTTCACGTGGTCCCTTGAGAGGGTCTCGGGGGCGGCTATGGGGGCGAATTGCCCAGGGGAGAGCAAGATAGGTACAGTCAGGACGCCGCAGTAAGGACGGCTTTGGGCTCAGGAGGGGCCCGGGTGTTCGGGCCGCTCCTTGGACTTGTGGCGTGGAGACTGCTTGTGTCCTGGGCCCGCCGTGGCCAGAACAGCTCCCTCGTTCCTGATTCTGCGCTCCTCGTGGTAGCACGATGACTGCACATGTATATGCTGGGGCGCCGATGGTCCATGCCTTCGGCGAGGATCCCGGCCGAATACGTGTGATGCCAGCCCCTCGGCTGTTCGCCCCCATCGTCGCCCCCCGAGGGTCGTGGTGGGTGCTCCTGGAGGGGTCCCTGGAGGGGAGTCGTCCCTAGCCTGGGTGGGATCGGGGTGGGTGGTCCCTGGAGAGGGGTCGGGTTGCGTCAGAGAGGCGTCCCCGGAAGGGAGCTGTCCCAGGAGGGATCGGGGTGTGGCCCGAGCGTTGTCCCAGGAGGGGCCGGGGTGGGCCACAGGGGGAGAGTTGTCCCTGGCCCAGGGTGAACGACAGAAGTCAGGCGATCGCAGACATGGATCAGGGGGGCGTGGATTAGCGACGGATCCCGTTTCCACGGGACATGGCGGATTTCCGCCGCCGAGCGAGGCGGCACTGGTCGCATCTTGATGAGGGCACCTCCCTCGATCCATGGATTCGGCGACCGCGCGCCGAGTCCATGGGTCGCCGATCCACGTTTGCGCGCCCCCGAAGACGAGCTCGGGGTCGGCTGCGTGGACACCGGCGCGACAGTTTCCCGCGTCAGGCCGCGCGTGCGCGCCTTCGTCTCCACGCGGGTGTGCCACGCTGGCGGCCCGCGCAGGCCGCGGGGCGGTGTCGCCGTGTCTTCCCGCGTGCGGCCCGCTGCTCTTGGCGGCGCAGGTGCCCCCTGGGAGGTCCAGGAGGTCTCCAGGGCACGTCTCACAAGGCTGAAGTCGGGCATGTCCCTCCACAGGAGGAGTATTCCAAATGGGTTGAACGATAGTCAGGGGACGCTATTTGGACTATTTTTGATCATCTTTGCGTATGTTTTGGAATATCTGATATTTCTCGTCCAACATCCGCCTGTAGGGGGACACGCCCGACCTAAAACAAGGCCCCGGGGACCCCCATGTGGTGCGAAAAGCGGGGGGCACCGGGGGCCAGGAACACTGCTGGCAGCACCGGAAGAGGTGTGTGTGTGTGTGTGTGTGTGTGTGTGTGAGGAGGGGGTGTCGATACAGTCAGCCCGCATAGTAAGGACGATCGACTTCCCAAGGGTACCCTCGCATCCCTGCCTCTTCTTCGGTGGTCTTCGGTCCATCCTCAGCCCCTTTCGATGGCCGGCCCCGCTTGAAGAGCCTTGGCATGGGCGTCCAAGGCCCTCTGCATCCTTACCGCGTATCCATCCTTACTAGTTAGATGGGTTGGCTGCGATATCTCCCAGATCTCGTGACCCTCTCTTCTCTTCTCGTCGCGTCTGGGGCCCCCCCACTCCGTCCGGTCACACACATGCCTCGGATTAAGTCGGGCATGTCCCTGTACAGGAGGAGTGTTCAAAAAGAGTCGAAAAATAGTCAGGGGACGATTTTTTGAGTATGTTTGAGCATTTTTGGGCATTTCTCTCGAATCTTTATGGATTTTCGCCCAAAATTCGCCCATAGGGAGACATGCCCCACTTTATTCTCGTCGCGTCTCGGGCCCCCCCCACCTCGTCCACACACACACACACACATACACACATGCCTTGGACCACGGTGCGCACTCCCCCCTCCTTTCTGGCCCCACTCTTCGGCGCACCCAGCCAGTGGCGGGGGGGGACACTTCGGTCACCGGCGCTCATCACATGCGCTCGGGAAGCGCTGCTCGAGGGGGAGGCAGGGTCGATGATGATCGGTGAGTGTTGAGGCGTGTTCGAGCGCCTTGGGGTCCTGGGGGTTTTGGGGGTCCAGGGGGGCTCGCCTGCGCGAGAGGAGGTGGCGCGACCCCCCCAGTGGTGACCCCCTCGGCACTGCCTGGAGGTCGGACCCTGAACCCAGAGAAGGAGAAGACGCTGGAACGCAATGCACTCGGAGGCGCACCGACGTTTCTCGTGCTGGCTTGCCCTGCGATGGGCATGCTCACGAGATCGGGAGTGGTGGCCGGAGCTCCATGGAGTGCGTCGCCACCTGCTGCCGTGGCGGCTCCGAGCCCCGCGCAGCCGGATTTCCCAGCGGCCACGTGCCGAGGATCGAGGAGTGCAAAGCGGCATCATCGGATGCATTTCGGAGGTCCGCGCGAGCCTCCGAGACTGTATGGTTGTGCCGCTTGTTGTGCCTCCTGAGGTGCCCGAGCCTGGCGGACGAGTTCTCCAGGTCAAACCAGAAGGGCCCCATCACGACCCTGATGATCCGAAACATCCCCAGCCGCCATTCGCAGGGGGATCTCGCCCGGGAGTTGGACGAGCTCGGGCTCGCGGGCAGCTACGACTTCCTGCACGCGCCAGTGGACAAGGGCACGATGTGTAACCTCGGATACCTCTTCGTGAACTTTGTGAGTGAGGAGTGGGCGAAGAGGTGCACGCGTGTCTGCCACGGCTACCGCTTCCAGAAGTACGGCAACCGGGCGGCTCGCAGCAAGATCGCGGCTGTGTCGGTGGCGCGCATCCAGGGGCTGGAGGCGAATAGGAGGTATTACGAGAGCTCCAGGGTGCGCGGCGGCCCCCGCTGCGCTGGCACCTCGGCGTGACGCCCACAGCGGCGGCACGGCCCCCCGATCGCGGCCCCCCTCGGCATCGAACGAGCGCAGGCGTCAGCTTACGCCGCCCTTGTCCCATTACGGCACAGGCGGCGCGACGC